AATTTAATTAATTTACATATTTTCTTTACTTCTTAGGCATTAGCTATGGGAATGATGACAGAATATTATCATTATATCTTTACTACTTTGGTAAGTAATTTTAGCACAAATTAAGACTGGTGTTGTAAGTGTATTGTTATGACTGTTATTAATAACTAAGAGTTTTTGAGTGAGAAGTGGTTCTTTGGGGGCTATAGTTATCAGTGAGAAGTAATAACTTTTTATTATAAACTGGTGGGTTTGGTGTAATGTTGTATCAGGAATCAATATATTCAATGTCTGAGTTTGATATTGCTTTAAATGCTCTTCAAAAGTAATGGAAAGTCTTCAAATTTGTTTTCAGAGAAATGAATTGTTTAAGAAAAATATAAATTCTTTTGCCATTATCTCAGTTCCATTCACCTTAGGAAAATCACGTTAAGTGAAACTAACTTTTAAATAGATTAAATCTGCTATCCTTTTATGGTGTAAGTTGGGTTAGATTTTTTTTAAATCAAGATAGTTTAATATTCCTATTGATATCTTCACATATCCACCAAGCTAATTTTCCTTAATATGCACAAAATCTCAGCTTCACCCTTGCACTAAACCTACTTACTCTGAGCCTTATTTCCTTAGCAGTGCATTATCCTGGTTTTCCTGTGTGTATGAGATTACTCTCTCTCTCTCTTATGACTTGTAGCCCAGTCATCCACCAACTATGTGTATATTTCCTCGTTTAGGGCTCTTATGCTATCATCACCACGATCAAATAAGATGTCAGCCAACTGCCCTTTATAAAGGACAGAACTGTCCCAATAAACTCTGAAACTTGGTCGAGTAAATAGCAGCAATAGGCTGAATTTATATTATAGTTAATGATATTAAAACATCTTTATTCCTGGTAAATCTCATTCTAACTTGAACAATTCATAGTATTAAAATCCCTTAAAGTTACTTCAGCCTTTTTTCAGAATAAACAACAATCTTGCAAAATGCAGATTTTAGGAATTAGAAAACTGAAGCTGGTAGTTAAAATGCTAGGACAAGATCATTTACTCACTGTGTGGTAGAAATTGGATGCCATTGAACTCAAGCCTTTGGACTGTGTCTTACAAGCTCTTCACGCACAGTGGGTTGACAACATGTTGGTTTGGGTTGATTTGACTGCCTGGGAACCTCTTATGTACGTGATAAAATATTACTACTAAAAAAGTTTGGCAGACTTAGAAGTCAAATTGTAGCCCATAAAATATAACTGGCTGTTATAACATGGTTAGTTTATTAAGCAGATGTTTATCTAATCCCCTTATATGAATGTTGGATTAACTACCATAATATACTTAATTGGATTTGGAAAATTGTTCTAGTGTTATATTTAGGTGATAAAGTATATGAGGCTTTTTCTTTTTGAGTAAATAGATAATGTGTTTTTTTCCACATAATATTAAATCAATTCTCAATCATAGAATACACAGACTTGGAAAGGCTGACTTTTACTTGTGTTTAGAATGGATGGTATAGTATTTTAATGCTGGAACTTTGTTTAGTTTCTTTTTGGGATAAACATGCCAAAGATTGGGTAAATAATTAGATACTTGATGTTTGAATGGAAAGAGTATGCATTTCAGAATGTTCCTTCCACTTTCCATTGAATATATTTATTTGTTCATACTTGTCTTTTGTGTGCCCTGATCTGTTTGCAAAAGGAAAACAATTTAAATATTTAAAATATATACAACAAATGTATAGAATTTTAACATATAGATATAGCAAGTAGGCTACATGCTACAATTAAGGTGAAGATTGAGCATGAGTTTTTAAAAATTTCATTGGAAATTATTAACCATTATTTATGTAGTATTTACATTAGCTTTTTTTTGTTAGTAAAGGTGTATTGTAGATAATCAATCAGAAAAGGGTACATATTTCTATGGCCTTCATACATGATAGCTCTTGACTGATGTTAACATTCAGACCAGAGGCTGAGGAAATGTCGGTGAAATCACAGTTTTTTCCCTGGCGTATTGTATTCTCTCAAAGGAGAAACTTGTATCTGATGTGGAATACCAATTAAAGAGCTTAAAAAAATTCTTGGAGAAAGAGGAATTAAAAGATAATGAAGAAATTGAGTCTTTTGAAGTCCCCTCACATGTCAGAAGCAGCCCCATTCCAAACGCCTCCTCCTTCTTTCATTTCCAACTCATACTTTCATGTCCTGACCCTAAATGCCTAGGTTTTCAAATTACCAAAGCCTAAAGCAACAACGTTATAGAACGCAGTTGTAGTTTGTGGAAGTGTATTAAATGCATATCAGAATGCTCATTTCCTACTAAAAGCTCTTCATCCTGATAAAAAAATTCATCACTTTTTAATTATCACTACCACCAACTGTTTATACATAACCAAGTATTTCAAAAGGAAAGAATGACATAGATACTTCTTCCCACTGGAAGTTCAAACACAAGCGGTTTTGTTTTAAGATCAATAGGGTTATTGAAATGTGTTGACAAGTGTGCAATAAAACATTCTAATTTGCAGCTGTTCTATTAATAAAAGTAAAAACATACTTTTAAGTTATCTGTACTTGTAAAATAGTAGTCATGAGTTATGTTTGCATCATTAATTCTAAGGGAATGCCTCTAACTTGCTCAAAATTATCTTATTGGCATTGTGCTTTGTAGCACTTTTTTTCTAATTGAGTTATACTGTTCATCAAAATAAAATAGTGTTCCTCATTAGGGTATTTGCACTGGAGACATTACAAATATAATGAACTGAGAAGTACTAATTCCAGGTTTTGTGTCAAATTTAATACTTCCTTTTATATGTAAAGCTTCAAGCTTTACAATTGCAAGCATTCAACTAATAGCTTTTTTATCAAGAGAATTGGTTCAGAAATTCCTTCAGTAATCACTAATCTTCTGTTAACCACAGAGAAAAGGTTTAGTCTGACCCAATTCGATTGTTATATGAATTGTATATGCTAATTTCCCATTACTTTATATATTTTTCTCACTTGTCTTTTTTACAGTAGGCATTTCAACTATGCATGCATGTATGCATTTCATTAATAATATTTAAAATTAATTTAATTAATTTACATATTTTCTTTACTTCTTAGGCATTAGCTATGGGAATGATGACAGAATATTATCATTATATCTTTACTACTTTGGTAAGTAATTTTAGCACAAATTAAGACTGGTGTTGTAAGTGTATTGTTATGACTGTTATTAATAACTAAGAGTTTTTGAGTGAGAAGTGGTTCTTTGGGGGCTATAGTTATCAGTGAGAAGTAATAACTTTTTATTATAAACTGGTGGGTTTGGTGTAATGTTGTATCAGGAATCAATATATTCAATGTCTGAGTTTGATATTGCTTTAAATGCTCTTCAAAAGTAATGGAAAGTCTTCAAATTTGTTTTCAGAGAAATGAATTGTTTAAGAAAAATATAAATTCTTTTGCCATTATCTCAGTTCCATTCACCTTAGGAAAATCACGTTAAGTGAAACTAACTTTTAAATAGATTAAATCTGCTATCCTTTTATGGTGTAAGTTGGGTTAGATTTTTTTTAAATCAAGATAGTTTAATATTCCTATTGATATCTTCACATATCCACCAAGCTAATTTTCCTTAATATGCACAAAATCTCAGCTTCACCCTTGCACTAAACCTACTTACTCTGAGCCTTATTTCCTTAGCAGTGCATTATCCTGGTTTTCCTGTGTGTATGAGATTACTCTCTCTCTCTCTTATGACTTGTAGCCCAGTCATCCACCAACTATGTGTATATTTCCTCGTTTAGGGCGTCATCTGATTTTCTTCTCTATTTTTTTATATTATGTGTAATGAACTTCAATTATTGTTTTTGTTCAAATGAGATCTAGATATTCACCTGCATATTACTGAATTAAATATGGATCCTTACCTGAAATATTTTATTGTTGTTTCATTGAGATAATTACAATATACCTAAAATAAATATGTCCTGTTATTGTTAGGTTCTGTTCAGTCCGTTTTCATTTAGAGCGACCCTGCAAACAAAAAACGAAATACTTCCTGGTGGTGAGCTACCCTCACAGCTGTTGCTATCTCAGAGTCAATTATTGTGACCACATAACGTCATGACCAAGACGTTACTCCGTCTCGTTGAGGGTCTTCATCTTTTCCCCTGACCCTCTGCTTTATGAGCATTTTGGCAGAACTTCCAAGGTAGATTTACCTGCACTCCCGTCAGCCTATGGTATATTCAATATTCTTCTCTTAATAGTATAATTCAAATGCATCAATTCCTCTTCATCTGTCTGAAGCATGTGTTAAATTGACCCTTCCTCTTGACTTCTTTCAAAACTGCCATGTCTCTGAGTCTTTCTGAATCATCAACAAAATCCTATTGACTTTTGTCAGATACACATTCTCCATGCTCACAATATCAGTCTAACCAGTGATCCATTTCTGTTCACTTAAATGCTTTCTCATTCCTGTCTTTACTCCCATTGCTGATGTTCTTAAGTGCCTCTGAATTGGTTCCAACTCATAGCAAGCCTCTGCACAACAAAACAAAACGTACTCCTGCTGCAGCCTGCACCTTCCTCCCAGTCATTGTTATGTTTGAGCCTATTGCTGCAGCCACTGTGTCCATCCATCTCCTTGACACGCTTCTTCTTTTTCACTGACTGTCTACTTTATCAATCATGACATCCCTTCCCCAGGACTGGTCTCTCCTGATGACAAGTCTAAAGCAGGTGAGACTAAGTCTTGCCCTTCTGTCTTATAAGGAGCATTTTCCTTGTACTTGTCTGTAGACAGATTTGTTCATTCTTCTGGAAATGCACTGTACTTTAAGTATTCTCTGACAATACTATAACTCAAATGCATCCATTCTTCTTCAGTTTTCCGTATACCGTGTCCATCTTTTACATGAATATGAGGCAGTGGAAAAGATCATGGGTTGGATCAGGCACAACTTAATGACACCCTTGCCCTTCAAACACTTTAAAGAGATCTTGTGTTGCAGATTTACCCAATGCAATATGTCATTTTACTTACTCATACAAATATTAAAACGCTTGCTCTGAGAAATATTGAAAGGCCCAACTAAATCAAGTAACTCAGATTTAGATGATGCACTATTAGTTTCTATGATAGCATCTCTCTTTTCCAATGGAGATGCTTCATGCAGAAGCCTTTAACTTACAAATGTGACTTTCTATGTTGCATCTCTACCTTTCTTTCACCCAGGTGTCATATTGTAGCCTGTAAGAAACTCAGTGATCAACAGGCGGGCAGAGAGAAAGTGGGCACCTTCTCTCATCAGCAGAGTATTTGTCACTGCTGTTGCAGCTCAGCTCTGTCATAATCATACGATTTGGAGAATATTAAACTATATCTCAACAAGGAAAGACAGAGTATTCTGGTTTAAAATATATTTAAACTCATAAGGTTGCAATTATAGATCTCTTGTAGCTTGCTTTTAATATAACTTCCCATTTTCTTTACTACTATACTCTTTTATGAATTCTCTTTTACGGCCAAACAGATCGAGATAAGCACCCCAAGTAGGTTTATGTTTTCTAATTTATGTGTCTTTTATACACTCTTAGAATCTTCGCCATTCTTCTTTTTGACCTTCTAAAGTCAGTGTGGCCATTCGATAATGGCAGCTAGGAACCATCTGCTGTGTGAGTTTATCCTGGCTGTTAGAATTGAAAATGATCTTCCTTGCTTTTCCCTCTTCTTACATTCATTACTTCTACCCATTACTGCTAAGCATATATGACCATGCTTTATATGACATTCCTGAAACATGTCTCTTTGTCTGTATTTTAAAAAATGGAAAATATACTTCAAGTTTCCTTGTATTTTTCATATTAAGGATCATGGCTCAGATCAATGCCAGCTGCTTGCCACAGCATTTTATTCCCAGTACCTGGACTAGTGCAGCTGTCTGCATCAGGGCCCAGTAGTAACCCGGATCAACAGCATTCATGTTGCCCTGGTGTTCCATATTTTTCTTAAGATCTGAGGGTTAACTAATTTTAGCTTGAAAGAGGGAAGCAGTTCCACATACTGCATCTCCTCCTGGGGACACCTTCCTTCTCTGATAGTGTTGGTCTTCTGGGGAAATACACACACACACACACACACACACACACACACACACACACACACGGTACTCACTGCATATATCCTGGAAAGAGCATCAGCAATCTTAAGGTCTAATGTGTTATTTGGGGAAAATTGTTGAGTAGGATAAAAGAAAATGAACTACAAAGTTCCTGTAACCCCAAACACCATGCTTTTGCTTCATTTTTTAATCTAATATTCATAGCCAGTTTCTTTAAACACACAGACTGACACCACAGCAAAGCAAAATAATAATTAGCTAGTCAACATATCCATTCAAAGCTGTTTATGTCAGTTAAAAGTAAATTATTAAATTTAAAGTGTAAATGCTAAGAGCCAACTAGCCTCAGCACAGTGAAGGCAGGCTATTGAGGAGAATGCGTTCCCTTAGTGTAGTGTGGCTATTTTGTATACATACAAGCATATGTTTGTATTGGCAAAGTAAGAGGAGAGTCTATATGAGTGGTGGTGATTTGTCACATTTAACATCACTTGATGCACAATGGTGTTTTAGCTAGCTCTTCCAAAGGAAACAAAAATAAGTGGCTATTTCAATAATGCACAACTGTGACTATACCCTGCTGACAGTAAGACATCGGTTTTTGTCTTTCAGGACCTCTTCGCTCTCGATGTGGAGCCCTACCGATACAGTGGTGTTAACATGACAGGGTTTCGAATATTAAATACAGAAAATACCCAAGTTTCCTCTATCATCGAAAAGTGGTCCATGGAACGGTTGCAGGCACCTCCAAAACCTGATTCAGGTTTGCTGGATGGATTTATGACGGTATGAATCCCTATTGAAAACTCAGCTCATATCTTTCTAAGTAGTCATGCATAAGTCATTAAGTCCTTGGGATATAAACTCTGTTTGTTTTGATATTAAAAGTATGCCATCAGATGATTACTGTACACAGCTCTATTAACAAATATTCAAGTTAAATTTGTATGGCAAATTTATTTGAGAGTTTCAACAAAATATCTCAAAACTTTCAATCATTGTTGGAATGATTGAAATGTAGAGATTGTTTTCCCCCTAAAATTAATTAGTGCCATATATAGGACAATTGGCTACTGAAGATATTAACTGGACATTCTTCTAGGGGAGTGCTTTTTACTGTGGTGGTTTCTGATAACGATAGTGTATGGATGACTGATGTCCCACGAAAATTTTCCTGGAACTTATTCCCTCTTTAATACTTAAGACTAACCAATTACCATGTGCCTATTTCAAGTGTTACTCTAATTCTAGAAAATAGATTTACTGAATATATTGTAAGAAGGGTACAATTTTGTACATTTTAACCTTTATTTGCTTATTACTAGCACTGACCAATGGAAATCTGAGGTGCCTAGGTGGTTGCTACCTTGAAAACAAAAAGAAAGTGATGATACAAATCAATGTAATTAGTTTTATTTAATCCATGGAATCAAAAATAATATTAAATTTGCCCCAGCAAGATTTTGAGAATCAAATATTTTGCATGGTTTCCCTTCATAGTCTTTGAAAGACTTTGAAATGTGTTTGATACTTAGAAGCACCTCTCCGTTCATCCTGCTTGCTTTCAGCACGTCTCAGTTCAGCTAGTTACCGTCCGAGGGGCTCACATGTGTCCGGGGGCTTCCTTGTGAAATGCACTGTCTTCAAGTCACTTCTCACATGGACAGCGCGGCGACGCCCCTGTGGCTTTCTGACACGACACATCTTCGGAGAGTAAAACCCTCAGTGTTCTTCCTTGGAGTGGTTTTGAACAGCTGCCTTCAGGATTAATTCCCAATTGTGTAATCCAATATACCAACGAGGCTACCTAGGACAAGACAAATTTATCCTACGTAGGCAAATCATAAGTGCTTAATATGAACTCATTAAATTTATATTCTATAAACCAAATTATCTCAAAAATTCGCCAGACTGTCTACTACTTGGGCAATCTGAACATTTCTTAAGTCATTACAACCTGCTTTTAATGGAGTAATTTGAAAGGGAAACATTATAAACATGGATATCCTCTATGCATCCTCTATAGAAAATGTGTTTCTAAACAGGGAATCCAGGACAGGTAAACCCCTCAGGACCAATAATGAGAGTGGCTGGACCAGGAAGGGGAGGGGAGGGTGGGGGGAAAAGGGGAACTGATAACAATGATCTACATCTAACCCCATACCTGGGGGCGGACAACAGTAAGATATAATGTCAATGTAAGATATGAAAAAATAATAGTAATTTATAAATTTTCAAGGATTGTGAGCCAGGGAGGGTGGGGGAGGGAGGGGGAGAAACGAGGAGCTGAGACGAAACCTCAAGTAGAAAGCAAATGTTTTGAGAATGATGATGGCAACAAATATATAAATGTGCTTGACACAATGGATGGATGGATGGATGATGATAAGAGTTGTATGAGCCCGCGATTAAAGGATTAAAAAAATCTGTTTCTATTATCATTGTAAACTTTACATTAATTGTTTCTATGAGGGCTCAAAGGGTATCACTTTTATATGGTGGTGCAAAAGATAATTTTTTTTTCTTTAAAACAAGATTTAGTAAATATAAAATCTTACCTAACTACTTTGATACTCTGTATTGCATTTTAACTATCATCCCCTAAAATGAAGGTTTTCCTAAATACTATTAATTTATATAGACTGCTAGATACAGAAAAAATATGTAGTATTTCAGTTTCTTACCAATAAAGTAGAGATCTTGGAAAGCTATGACTTCCATAAATGGATCAAAAAGAAAGGGTGTAGGTAATATTTTTCTCTAGTTAACAATACATAGTAAGCATTTTTTTAAGTCACTAAGTGATTGTGAAAAAAATAAGGCTATTTCTATCTTGAGTGGAGTCTGAAAATTAAAAAGATTCTAGTTTGAAAAGAAAAGAATTATAGCCTGCCATTGAAGAATTGGCAACATTTCTTTCAGTCGATTCATGATATCTCATTGTTTATGTATCTTTTGTTTTTAGCTCTCCCATCCCCCTTATTTTTTCCCCCTTCGCATGATCCCATAAAGAAATGGGATTATCAGCAAAATCCCTAATGCTTGGAGCAAGACCTATTATTATCAGTATCATAGTCATTTGTCACTATGTAAGATCATAGTGCTTATACTTTCACATTCTTTCTTTATGTTTGAGCTATAAAAGGAAACAATGAATCCGAATCAGACGTATTTTTCTCTGGCTGAGTTAGCACCTCAATTGACCTCTGGATTAACTCCTTATTAGCCTGTGACCACAGGATGCAAGAGCAGGACTCCCGACACCTGGTTCTGAGATCTTTGGCTTCAGACTACTAAAAACATCAACTTTAAAGTCCCTCAGTAACATTTTTCTTCTGCTAACCAATTACATAGATGCGCATCTGAACTGGTCAAGGTGGAAGGAACGAAGCCTAACCTCATTTCTTCACAGATCGTTCACTTGCCATTATGTCCCCTTGATTTTGCCTTTCCATCTGCCCCCAAGCTCCCTCCTCCCCCTCTAAGCCTTCTTATAAGAACCTTTCTCTACTTTGAATTCTTATTCAGCACTCCCATATGTTGATGGCCCTAGGAGTGTAGAAGGTCCTGTTCCGAATGAATTACTTGCACTGGAGTGTCAACGGAGAGTCGTAATGTGGAAGAAAGATCGAAGTCCATAAAGATTGCAGTCAATAGAAATACCCATGGTGCTCAGATCTCCTCTGTAATACAAGTACTTGGCATGAGGCAGAATCAATTCAACCGCAAAGGGTAAATGGGCAGGGATAGAGCCCTTCAGCGAGCATTAGCATCACCCACACACTCATAAACGGATGGCATTTCCATTCGTTTTCTACCTAAACGTTGTCAACCCTCTTCTCGATGCATGGGTGCTGCAGGGTAGGAATTCATGGTTTTGAAGCTGTTAGAAATTGAACCCAATTATATTTATTACTGATTTGTTCTAACAATCTCAATTCATGAGACTCTAAAACCTTAGCTTAACATATCAAAAGGATGGCTAGATCCCAGCAGTCCTTTCTAGTGCTCCCAATATACTTGTGCATGTTAATAAGAAAGGAATCCTTATCATCCAATAGTGTACAACTACTATTTTTATTGTGCTGTTGTATAACATTACACATACTTTTTAGTAGTTTATATTTACAACACAATGTATGGTTCTGTAGTTGACATTTATAACACAAATTATTATGGTCATTATGATGACCATGGGGAGATTATGGTTTTAACAAATCTAAACGCCTAAGCTAACAATTATTTATCTCCATTTGTTTCATCTCATCACATCCAAAAAATCCTCAAGCACTGTCAATTCCACTGTCTCAATCATTCTCTCTGACATACTTATCATCCCCAGAACGATGTCTTGTTAAGGCTCTCTCATAACATCTCCCCTGGGAGGTGCAAGATGCCTCACTGAAGCTCCCAGTCTCACCAGCTTTCTCTGGGATCCACCTGTTTGCTGTCCTGACGGGTCCAGATCTATGCTAGGACTCGCCCTTGTACCAGATGAAATCTAAGCTGATTTGCCAAGTCCACAGGCCCTCGATGATCTGCCTACTTTTCTAGCTTCTTACTTACCTGCCCTGTGCTTCCGGTTCACTCACCTCACTGAGTGCACCACACACCTCGGTCCCCTGTCTGTACCATCTGCCTTCATTCCGGTGACCATCACATTTTAAGGTTCACATTCCATACTCGTCTTTTAAGTTACAGACCATCTGTTACCTTGTCTGTGAATTCTCTGAGTCCCCAAGACTGTGTACACGTGTGCTTCTCCTTTGATTCACTTACGTCTAACCTGATGTTATAATTTAATAGTTTATCATTTTAATATTTCCTACTGGACTATAAACTCATTCCAGACTTGGCCTGTGGCTCATCATCCTGGAATTCTCTGCATGTAGCTTAATTCTAGGGCCCTAGTGACATGATGGGTCAGACAGGGCACTGCTCACCTCAAGGTCAGTCGATTGAAACTATCAGCTGTTCCTCAGAGGACGGGTGAAACTTTCTACCTCTGGAAAGATTTTGCAGTCTTGGAAACCTGCAATGGTGAGGTTCTGCTCTCTTCCCGTAGGGTAAATATGAAGCATAATCTACTTGATAGCAGTACTTAAAAACATTTCTTTGAGGCAGTGACTAGTGCAAAGTAGGTGCTCATAATAAATAATGCCTGATGGGATAATGTGTATCATTCATTTCACTCAGATTATCCCTATGGTCCAATCATTAGACCTCTCATTTCCCCCAATATATTATAGCACGTTTTTATTTGCCTACCTTTGCTATATTATCAAGATACTCAATCAATTAGAAAATACAATTAAGCCAGTGTCAATTATTTGTTAGAGAGAACCTTAAAAGGCAAAATCTGAGAAACACGTTTTTATTAAATAGTGATAGTTTAGTGTGAGCGAGAAGAGTAGTTTCTCATGTAAGAAAAGTGGGAGCATCTTTATGTGAGTCTTTTTATGCTTAAATTATAATATCTCCCTAACAATTACTTTTTGCACAACAGACCAAATTTTTAAATTTACTTCATTATTTGATTATATTAAATTGATCTTGTATGGACATCTCACCACAAGGCTCCAGTTCACGTCTGCCCTCTGCTATGTAAGGACTTCCCTTGTAGGCAGTCGGTGAATAGGACAATGGAGAAATAAAGGATGTCCAAACAGGATCTTATTAACTGTGAGAACTGTAAGTCTGTCCTTGCTGCTGTCTGCTTATCTTAAATAGTTGTAGCTGCTCTCTTTGATTCGGCTGAAATGAAAATAAATAAAAGAGCTCTCCGG